CATCGAATGCGAAGACTGCCGCGAAACCATCACATGGTGTAGTCGCTGTGTTGAGGAGTCTTCACTTCGTCTTGCCGTAAAGCAGAGCCAATTCAGTGAGTTTCTCCTTTTTTTCCCGCTGATATTGCATTTATTCGTCGTCGTTCATGGAAGCGTTAATTAAAGTAGCTGTGGTAGACTGGATTCTACCACATTTTCAATCAAACATGTAGTTTGCCACACCAATTAAAGCATTCCGATATTACTTTGATTGACAGATGTCAAAACAGATCAAGGATATCAGTTTTCTTACCATGGCGTCCAGGGCACACACAAAATTCAACTTCTTACGTACTCCTGTAATGTTCAAAGAGCAGTTGAAGTTGAACTCTCATTGAAAAGTAAGCGAGAGTCAGAGAAAGAAAAGAGAGCTCGACAATCGACATTTAATGCACGTCATAACACTACTTAATACTATAAACATATTCAGGCCCACCAACGCGTGCAAACTTTGGTAAACCGGGAGGCCGGTGTCACAGCGGATTTGGACCCCACCGGTCCAAATCCGCTAGCGGAGCCGACGGGTCATTTCTAGCTGCCAGTTCGCATGCATCGGCGATACGCATATTTTGAATTAAAAACATACTATAGTACGCACTGAAATGTAAAGTATTATCTATTTCTACGAGAACGTTAAGGATGATGTTTTCACTCAGTTCTGTTGGGGGGTCCATATCCGCTAGCGGATTTGGACCAGGGGGTCCAAATCTAGGGGAGTCCAAATCCGCTAGGACACCGGCAACCGTGGTAGAATTCAGTCTCGTTGCTATTTTAATTGACCCTTTCATGAACGACAGCGAATAAATGCAGTATCGGTAGGGGAAAAAAGAGGAGAAACTTACCGAATTGGCTCTGCTTTACAGCAAGGCGAAAATGAAGACTATTCAATACAGCGACTACATGTGATGGCTCCGCGGCAGTCTTCACATTCGATGACGTCATACAGCAGATCGCCGTTCCATTTGCGGTTTGTATTTTTGGTGGTTTCGGCGAGATAGCCTTGGCGGCCGTCACCACCAAAAATACAAGGATGTCAAATAGATCAGCAAATGCAAAGAAGGTTTAAGGATCAGCTGCAGGATAGCATAGCTAATAAAGGAATGGCATGGCTTTTACGTCACGCCACAAGCAAGCTCGACGACTCGCCACAACATCGAAATATTTCAGGTAATACTAAGCAATTTAATGTTCAGCGTCTGATGTTCCGCAAAGCTATTCGAAATTACGCGGAGCCATTTCACGCAACTCTACACCATTTGTGTGTACGCTGAACCATTCGACATTAAGCTGAGCCATTTCACGCAACGCTACACTGTTTGTACGCTGTACCATTCGACATTACGCTTAGCTATTTCACACAACGCTACACCATGTGTCTACGCTGTACCATTCTACATTACGCTGTGCCATTTGACGTAACGCTACACCGTTTGTGCGTACGCTGTGCTACTCGACATTACCCTGAACCATTTGACGCAACGCTACACCGTTTGTGTACTGTATTGCAAATGAGTGCAAGGCTATTCGCAATTGAGCTAGTCCATTTCACAATTTCATGTTCTAACTCGACATGGGCAGCTAGACCGTTTATCGTTTGGCGAAACTATCCATGTTTAGGGTGTTCTGTTTCACGAAGGAAAACTAAACCGTCTATAATTTGGCCATGCCATTCCTTTATTATCTATTCTATCTTGCAGCTGATCTTTAGACCAGCTTTGTATTTGCTGATCTATTTGACATCCTTGT